AGCAGCCTGGACTCCTGACTCTCTGTCCCACTCTCTTCTGACGGACCACGTGGCTACTGTCTGGACCTGGATCCTTCTGCATTCCCGGGCCAGGCCCCAGAGTCCCCTGACAGAATTGGTCCCTGATACATTAAACCCTTGGAGAACAACAAACAGATGAGCCAACTAGATGAAAGTCACCTCTCTCCAGAGAGCCACATTTCCTGAGAATGGTAGGTCCAGAAACACCCCTCCCCCAGCCTGGGGAACTCCTTAGGCAAGGGCTCTTTGAGGCCTAGTGGCCAGATTTGGGTTGCGAGGTCTGTGAGGTGGGTGGGGAAGGGGCCTGGCTCGGCGCTGGTGCCAGCAGTGGGGCTGTTCCACTTTCCTCATTCCTCTTCAATTACCCCCAGGCACACCTGGGGCGTCTATGAAGGCCCCAGGACTCGGGCTTGCTGGTCCCCGGAGCAGAGGGTCAGCTGCACATTTCCTTGAGCACGGGAGATGATTTACTCTCTGGCCCTCCCTCTTCTGTCTGGACAGGTGGATTCAATCACTTCTGCTTTGCTGCAAGCCCCAGGCAGAGTGAAAAGTTTCACTTTTTGATCTCTCTGTGTGTGTGGGGGGTCATTAGAAGAGTCCTGGACTTGAAAAGTGAGGTACAGAAAGGTGTCGTGGAGATAAGGGGAGGTGGAGGGAGAAATGAGCCAAACAGAGCACTTGGGGGAAAAGGAAGAAAAAGGAATATAGAAGCAGAGTTCTGGGCTCTCTGACACTGGCACCAAATGAGAAAGCTCCTTGCTGTTTTGCACAGCTGCCTGCAAGCTGCCAAGTGGCAAAGGATCCAGGAAAAGGCACAAGACTGGAAAGTGCTACCCAGCAATCTGTGTATTCTGCACTTAACAAGGGGTGAGTAAGTGGAAGGCATCGACAGCTCTGGGCTCTGAGATCTCTAGGGGCTGCAGCTGCCAGGCCACCTCACGCCAGCCTGGAGAGGACCCAGCCCTGGAGACTGGTGCCTGCCCCAAAGGAAGGGCTGCCATCAATTCATCCAATAGCCTGCCTTTGCCCTGGAGCTGGAGAAAGAAGGACCGGCCACTGAGGTAGGTGGAACGGAGTCCGTGGGAGGTGGTAAGAAGGAGGCACAGACCTGAGCCCTCCTGGGAGCTGAGTGCTTGTAGACTCCAGGGTGTAGGATGGCCAATTATTTTGTGCACAAGTTTCCCTCAAGAAGTGTTAACATCAAGACCTGATAGGCCTCTTCCTGGCATCTTCATGGGCAGTGGAGGCTGCACAGTGAATATCGTCGTTAGGATTTGCCAGCACATTCTTGTGTCTTGCACTGACGGACAGCAGGATCCTTGGATTTCGATTCCTAGTTCGCGTTCAGATCTGGAGTCAGTTACTTCCTTGGGTTTCCAGATGCCGGAATGGGGTGGGATGGGACGTGGCTGAGGGGGAGTGATCTGCTTCTTGGAATAAGTTGTTACCCGAATGGGAGTGGCTTCTCCCAGGGCTTCACCACTCTCCATGACACTGGGTTAAGAGGCAAGATTTCCCAAGGTCAAGGTTGTCTGTGGCTTCAAAAGTATAGGCTGTCCCAGCCCTTTGTTCTTGGCCACGTGGTTCCCAAGTAAGTTACATTGTCTCACACCTGTGTGTATGTGATGGTATCTAGCATCGAGATTGCCTCAAGGAATGACGGCTGGGGAGATGGCTAGATAAATGAATCAATGAATGAGAAGCCCTTTGTTGGTGATAGAAATATGAATAAGACACATTTTATGGTATCGAGTAACACTTGGTCTAGTGGGGCAGAGAAATTAATGAGGGAATAACTCTATTATAGGCCTGAATAGTTCAAGTCTATCGGAAATGCTGAAGGAGCATAGAGGAAGGAAGTAGTAACTGCTTGGGGGCAGTGAGCAGGGAAAACTACTGAAAGAAGGCCATACTCTATCTGGGCCTTGAAGGATGTGTAGGAGTTTTTCAGTTTTCCAGTGGACAAGATAGAGGAGGGGAAGGGCAGCTTAAGTTGGTGTAACTGAATAAGCAATGTATAAATGTGTGAATAAGATATGAAACGAGCATCTGTGTCTGGAAGAACCTCAAGATGAGGCTGGAAATGTAGACTGGGGCTTGACTTCAAGGCAGGCAATGCTTCTGATTTCTGAGTATCAAAGATAGCAGCAGGCTAAACTTTGGGTCCACAGACCCCTGGCAAGATTTTTTCTGTTTTCCAAATGCTCAGCAACTGTGTCCCAGGAGGATCATCAGAGGGGGTTGGAGGACCTCTGGTCAAGAAAGGATCCGGGTGGAGCCAGGCTTTGGGACACTGCCCATGTGGCAAGTCAGAGCTGGATGGAGCTGAACCCCATCATCATGGCCTCACTCAGAGCAGGTGAGTCTGGGACCCCTGAAACCCAAACACCTCGCTTTTATGAACTGGAAGTGTTTGTTTCAGGTCATTAAAGTAGTATATATTCACTGTAGAAAAATTTTAAAACACAGAAAAAAAATTAGAAAAGGAATCCCGTGGATCATTCCGCGTAGAGATAACTGTCCTGAGAACACCATGGTCCCTTCTTTGCATTTGGGTCCCAAAGCTTCTTGTCATACAAGTGCCAGCTTCGAGCCTCTGGTCCCCTGTGGGGGTCTGCATTAGCGGGACACCCATCTGACCTCTCGCTTGGGGAAACTTGCTCAGGTTACTTTCAGTCCCTGAAGCTCGGGGGCTGGTGTGAACCTCAGGAGATGAGGAGCTCAGCCCTTATCTGTCCTTGCCTGCAACATGTCACCGCTTCTCTGGACACAGCTCCAGGCTAGGGTTGGGCCAGGGGAGAAATAAAGGACACAATGTATGGTCTCATTAAACGTGTTCCACCTGGAAATGGACAAGAAATATTAAGATAGGTTGAGAGTGAGCATCGTGAGTTGATAGCTAAACATAGTTATTACGCACCGATGTCAGTTCAGACTAAAGACTGCCATTTCTAGATACACGGAACGAAAGCTGAAGCTTTCATCATCAGCAACAGGGTGCGGAATGCCTCGTTTATCTGGAATCGTGTAGGGAATTGGGTATTCTTCATAAGCCCATTTTCCCTGATCTCTTGAATCTTATATTTTTAGCTCCCAAACTCCTTTTCTCTTAACTATTTTGGATAGTGATCTCATTAAAGCACTAGTTCTTGCCTTAAACACACACACAGAGAATACCTTGTGTAATTTTAACACCATTGTGGTTGCAACAGTGAATAACCAATTTTGCACCCTGCTACAGCGCCAGACTGCGATGCTGAACAACAAATAGAAAGAACGGGCCGTTCAGCCTTCCACCTGCTCAAACCTCTGTAGGAGCCAATAACTGAATATTTATGTAGTAGTGGTCACTGCATAAAGAAAGGGGAACCACCTCTTGCGGGGTGCCTCTGGTGCGGCAGGCAGGCCGCCAGGCAAGCATTCTTTAGAGAAGTTAGCTTACTCTGGTCCCCACCTTCCAGGACATTTCCTGCTAAGGCACAGTGACCAGGAGACCCCGCCCGGGAGGGCAGAGGCCCACTGCCCTGCTGGAGGAGCTGTGTTTCATGGTCTGATTTCTGGCAGCCGCAAGAACTAGGGAAATGGTGCCATCCAGTTAAAAGCGGCCCCACGCGATTAGTGACTGAGCTGTTAACACAGCCGTTTGAAAGGGCAACCTGGGCTTCAGTCCAATGTCATTACCAATTAGCTACGTGACTTTGAGCAAGACAATTTCTCAGCGTCTCAGTTCCCGTACCTATAAGGTGGCAATGATAGTGACACCTGCCCTGCTTTCCTCACAGAGTTGTTTTGAAGGTGCAATTAGGAAATGGAATATTCTAAAGTCCTGCAGTGCTGTCCAAACGTATGGGTCATTATGGTTCTCCTTCCCTGGGCTCAACGGAGGAAGTGGCTGCCCAGGGAGTGGAGGGTGAGCTGGGGCCAGGGTGGGGATGAGGACACTGTCTGCCCTCCCTCAGAACCTATCCTGCGAGCCATCTTTTGCTGTGACAGGCCCAGGAAATCTCCTGGCAGGGTCAACCTCGCAAGGCTAATGGCTTTGCCGTGGGCTTGGAGGTGACTCAGCTGTGGATGTGGCGCCTGTCCTGCTGGGTCTGGACTCACCCGGGGTGCGCAGAGCGCGTGGCACATAATGTTTATTAATATGCCTTGATGAGAGGCATTAATATCTCTTAATGACACCATCTGAGCCTGGCCTCCTTCCTTCTTTCGCTCCTTGCTCCTCTCTCTTCCCCCATCACATGGAGACACACACACACTCACAGATAGAGTGACGCAGTCCGACACAGAGGAGGGTCAGGAGAGAGAGCTGTCCAAGGAAGGGGGCTTGGATGGGGGTGCAGCCACAGGGGTCAGGCAGAGGATCATGGGTGAGGGAGGAAGCAGGATGCCGCTGGCACTGCCATCAGGTGGAAACTTGGCCAGGAACTGCTTGGTGATGGGAGCAAGGGAAGCAAAACAGCGGCAAGACTTTTCCAAAGCTGGTGGGAAGGGCCAGAGCAGCAGGCAGTGCGAGAGATAGGAGAGGCTGGGGCTGGGAGGGGCTGGGAGGGGCTGGGAGGGGCTGGGCCTTGCCGGCCCAGGATGGGAAGGAGCCTAAAAGGCCTGCAGGTCACTCTCATGCTGCGTCTGAGAGGGCCCTGGAGTGAGATCCAGAGAAGGGGAGAGCAATGTGTCATACCCACTCACACTCACACATGTTCACACACTCACAGCCCTCACACTCACACACTTATGCACCCTCGGTCACACATGCCCTCACACTCTCACATACATGTCCACAAGTCACACACACATGCTCACATACAGACACAATACACTTGCTCACATACACACTCACACACATATACATGCTCACACACAGTCCCCACACTTACGTACACACACTCACAGATACATATGTTCACACAGTCATCCACACACAACACACTTACTCACATGCACACTTACACATGTTCACACACATACACACAGCCCCACAGGTACACACTTATGCACACATACCCATAATGTTTTCACACACATGTATACTCACACGCATGCACACTGTCACACACAGACACTTATATACATGCTCACATAACATGCACTCATATTCACGTACACAGACACTCACACAATCACATATATACACATTCAGACACTCATATGCACTCTCACTTAGACGCTCGTACACACTCACATGCTCACACACAGACACACACTCCCATACACGTGCCTAGACACACTCGCTCTCCTGGGCAGCCTTTCACTGGTGGCCACGTCAGGGGCTGAACTTGGAGGGAGAACCAGGGTGAGGGGGCATTTGGGGAGGGGGCTGGTGGTGAGGCTAAAGTGTGGACTGTGGGATTAGGAAAAGCTGGTGGGAATCTCCAGGCCCCTGGCAGGAGCCCAGGACAAAGAGATGACTGATTAGGACTGAGGTCTGTGAGTAAGAACTGAGCTATTCTCTGTCGCCCTCTGAGAGTCTGAGCGCCAAGGGGAGGTAGGAAGGAAGGGGGCTGTGGCGAAAGAGGCAGGCGACGGCAGCGGTGGGCATCCCTGCCCCTGCCCCACTCTCAGCGCCATGGTAGGAGGCTACAGGTTGGCCTGCTCCCCTCTTCGAGCAGCAGCAGCACAATCAGGAAATGGGTGCAGTTAATCCCCCCACACACAGGGCTCAGGAAACTTCAACCCAGCCAGAGGGGAGGGAGCTGCAGTGCCGTCTCCTCAGGCCTGGCTCTTACTGCTCCCTGCCTCTCACCTCCAGCATCCAGTCTTTCCGGCTTGGTGGCTGCAACCCCAGGACGGGAGGACAGCAGGACCTGGGGAGGAGGCAAACTGACCAGACTTTGCTTCCTGACTCCAGCTGGACAGGGGGTGCCCAGCAGCCCCTCACCACCCACCTGGCCTGGGGAGTGGCGCCCCAGGGTTGGTGAATGGTGAGGGGGCACTGGCGTTTGGACTTCTCCCAGGGGTGGCTGTGAGAGCTGCATCGGGGCTACCCCGGGTTCTGTGGAGTAGGGACCACATTCACTGACTGCTGTGGAGGCTTCTCAGAGTGCCTGGCTCCTGCGCTATTGTCCTTCCATCTCCTCTCTCTTTGCCTAAGAGGTGCCCCTCAGCCCCCACCCTGTTCTGTCCTGTTCTCCACTGCCCACCAGGAAATGGCGAACGGTCTCTCGGCTGCTCCTCACTCCCTGTGTTCGGTCTATGAGATGCTGGTAAACCTAGAGAACCCAGGCCACAAAGGCTGTAGGGGGCGGGGTGGGCATGGGGCCTGCAGCCAGGAGTGGGAGCCCCGCGGGGGGCAGCTGGGCGCAGGGTGGGAGGCAGTCTCCCAGGCTCTCTTCTCTGCTTTGGCTCCCTCCTCTGGTCTATTTTAGGTTTCCATACTCGGCTCCAGGGGAAGACAAGACATAATCCATACTTTTGGGCCTCCTCTCTCCTTCCCCACCAAAGGGCCTAGAACCAGGGCTGCCTTGTGAAAAGGAAGAAAAGGGGGAAGGAAAGAAGGAAGGACGTTAGGAGAGAGGGACTTTCTGGAAGAAAGCTTGGGATCAGGAATTTTGAGCAAGAAAAGATGTTAGAAATGCAGAATCTCGGGCTCCGCCCAGCCATGGTGAATCTGAATCTTCCTTTTAACAAGGGCCTGAGGTGATGCCTAGACGTTAATGTCTGAGAGGCTCTGCCTTGGGGTCCTGCTCCCAGGGCCCTGGGGTCTCTGGACAGCAGAGGACTCCTCAGCAGACCTGTGGTGGCAGCAATGATGGAACATTTGAGTTCTTCTCCCTGACGGTGTCCCCTTTCCAGTCTCTTCCAGGCTCTGGAGCCCTCTAGGGATCACCCTTCCCCGAGGCAGGACCTGGCTGACCTTTAGGTCTGGAGGTGGCCTCAGCTCTCAGGGCTGGTTGGGCCCCTGGGCAGTCAGAGGAGGTGGGTAGGCTGGAGGGGTTGGGGCTCGGCTGGGACCGAGAGACACAGGCCTGGTGTGCACATCCTCTTTCCTGTGCCCTCACTTGGGGCTGCAAAAAGCAGCCTGGATCTGTAACTCTTGGCATTGCTTGCTGCTCTGAGCCTTTGAGTTTTTGGAGTTGGGCAAGGCGGCCCCTCTCGCTGGTGGGGGACCTGGTGACCACACCTGGGTGCACTGTTTGATGGCTGCTCTGGAGGGTGTTTGACACACCCAGTGGTGCTCCCTTCTCCGATCACACTTCTCACTCCCAACTCTGTTTGAGGATGGGGAGCGTTTATTCCCCAGGTGTTCAGGGACCTCCAGGGAAGGAGGAGGAAAGAGAGCCCTGCTCTTCTTTGTGGCCTATAGACTAGAGGAGGGTGTGCAAGGCGGCAGGGCTTGTGAGTCAAGACGTGCTCTAGGGCCCTGGTGCCAGCAGGAGGCCCGCAGCTGAGTGACTTCCTTAGTTTTCTGTCCTCAGAGATGCCCAAGCAAAGCTGCCATCCCTGACAGGCTGCCAGCCTGCCCTCACGCTCCTCAGCCACGCCAGGGCCTGTTTGATGGGCCTTGGGGCCCCTGCGGCCCGTATCAAGCCAGGCTCATTTCTCTAGGCCAAGGGAACAGTGAAAGTGACCTACCAGGTCCTGCTGGGGTCCAGGGCCACACAGTTGTCTGGGGCAGGGGTCGGGGGAGGGGGCTCTACCGCCCTCTCTGGGAAGGCCAGCTGTGCCTGGGTCACCATGCTGCACCTTTACTGGGGGGTCGTCTGTTAAGGGCCACTCAGCTGAGTCCACAGGCCAGTGGGGAGGTTTGTGTGCAGAGGACCCTGGCTGCCTCGGATGGGTGCCCCCCTTTCCTCCCGGCAGGTGGAGAGCTGGAGGGGGGGCCAGTTTTGGGGCTTGGCTTCCAGCCTTGCAGGGATCATCATAGGTCTCAGAGTGTGTTGGAATGAGTCTTTGCACAACCTTAAGGAGGGCCCAGCAGTTCCAGGAGACAGTACCCAGGGTTGTGAGGAGGTGGGAGGAAAGGGGATGGAGTGATGGCAGAGAAGAAGGCCAAAGGGAGTTGGGGGACTCCACAGCGGCTGACTCCCCAGGCTTCCGGTTCTGGGGCTGGGCTGACTCCCCAGGCTTCCGGTTCTGGGGCTCAGCCCGCCTCCTTCTGGTCCCTACCCATGGGGCTGGGTCTCAGAGACCTTGCACCCTAGGAGTCTGGGATTCTAGGAGGCTAAGCCAATCCCCAGGCCATGCTACAGGGAACGGAGACAAACTTCTCCCCCGAACTTTTTCTTGCGAGCAGTTAATTGCCCTGGTGTCTGAGGCTGCAGTGTACATGCCAGGGGACTTTAATGAATGCAGATGACAGCTGATTAATCTGCCGTCTCTGGAGCCCTGCTCCTCTCTGTGGGGTCTGGCTACGCTCCATTCAGCCTCAATGGCCTGCACCAGCGGGGTGGGCTCCAACCTATTACCACTGGCGCTTCCCACCCTAATGGGGAAGAGGGCAAGCCCCCGCCCCTCCTCTGCGCCCCTGAGCCTGCAGTCTTGTCACACATGAGGGGCTGGCCTGGAGGAGTAGGCTTGCCCCTGCTGGACTCTGTCACTGGGCATTTCCCTACAGGAAGGGGGCCGATTACATGGAGAGACCCAACCAGCTGCTCAGTGGGATTCGTGTGAAGGGATTAAATTTAGGGGCGCTGTCTAGACAATGGCAGATGGTTGGTTTTTCAGTTACTTGCTGACCGTGGACTTGAGAGAGCAGCCAGGCCGTCAGATCCTTCCCACTCTGGGGAAAGGCCCAGAGAGAGGCGCTGGGGCCAGGGGAGAGGCCCTCTTTCTCTCCCGGCTGGGCTGCCCAGGCTCCCGGGAAGGCCACAGCTGTGGGGCTTCATAGGTGCCGAGCGCTGTGCCGCTGTCGGGGTGGCTTACAGTCTGGTGGGGACACGAGAGTAAAGAGGCAACTACAGATGTGAGGAGGTCCAAGAGGAGGACACAGGGGCCTCGTTCTGGGCAGGGAGGCCTTCCTGGAGGACACAGAGTGGGCTCTCCACCCGAGAGTGGTGCTTGCCAGAGGGAGGGGAGGCCCCTATTCCAGACTCCAGCTGCCAGACCTGAGTTCCTTCAGGACGTCCTCATCCCCAAGAAGCCCCAGACCCTTAGCACCTCCTCCTGGAGCTGCTTGCCCCTCCCTTTGGGCTGCCTGGCTGCTGGGGGAGGGAGGATTGGTGAGGAGGAGCGTGGAGGGAGTGAGAATCAGGCCTGGAGTGGAGGCTGCTGACCTCCTCCTGGGCAGGACCCCCACCGGGAAGCAGAAGCAGAGGTCCCTTTGGGGTGGAAGCCCCCTCAGATTCCACAGCAATAAAGAAGGGGCCCCGAGCTCAGCTCGCTCTTGCCACTGCAGCCTCTAATGACAGGGTTGGGGTGTAATGAATATCTGTGTGCTCATAAAACAGGCTAATGACTGCCCTCGTTTAATGGACCCCTTTCATCCTCACCCATTCCCAAACCAGAAGGGACCATGCCGGGGCTGGGCCCTGGAGCCTGGTAGCAGCCACAGACCAGCTCTTTGTGGTGGGGGCCAATTCGTTCCTGAGCCTGAGGCCCCTCTGGAGGGAGACTGCCTTCTCCTCCTCCATTCGTTATCTAGTTGAAACAGCCCTGAGGAATTTAGGTCGGCTGACTCTGGTGACCAGCCTTAGGAAGTAGGCAGGGGATAGGGAGGGAGGAAGCATATACACCCTGCTTCTTAAGAACAGTGTCGACACTTATAACACATGGCGGCAGAGAAAGAGCATTTAGCCCCCGCTGGCTGCACCACGCCCCTTTCCTCTGCCCAGGTACGGATAGGAGCTCACAGATCATCCCAGCGTCAACTCCAACACCTGAGGAGAGCCAGACCAGAGGAGGGAGGCGCTGGGCCTGCTGAATCACCAGCACCTGTGTTTTGCTTGGGCTGTCTCCCGCTCAGGGACTAGCCAAGCCTGACCCTGTTTGGCTTCCTGGAGCTTGGTGAGATCACAGCCCGGGGTGTTGTGGCTGCAGGCCAGTGTGACCTGCTATGCAGGGAGTATTTTTAAAGAGATACTTGCCCCTGTGTTCCCAGGATTAGCTCAATGAGAGATTCAAGTTGTTCTTTGAGTCCTGCCCCCTGCAATTTGATTGCAGAAATTGGTGAGGGGAATGTGGAGTCATTTGGGATAAAATGTGTAGTGGAAATAAACAATCCAATCCACTTGTCATGGACCAGCCCTGGGGGTGGCCAGGGGTCCCAGTGACTGGTAGCATCTGAGGGAGGGGGATGGGCAGAATCAGAGGCCCCAGGCCCCCAAGGATGGAAGGACAGTCTGATTTGTTTTCCTCAGACTTCTAGAACTCCTGACTGTGGTCTCCTGGGTAGATCCTGGACAGGAGCCACAAGTCACCATGACAGGGTCTGCCAGTGGCAAGAAACTCGTTAATGAGTCAGCCTCAGTGTTCCCATCCAGGCACTGGTCCAGCCCTGCCTCCAGGCCACCTGCAGATAATTGGGGTCAATGGAGGGCAGAGGATCCCAAGAATGCAAGTTCCCGTGCCTTTAACCGTCCTCCTGGGTTCTTATCCTTTCCCCTTGGAGACAAGTGCCCTCTTACAATGTGGGGCAGAAGAAAGCACAGCTCTCGGGTCACACAGAGTCTCTCAGGGGACACCTCAGGAGGAAAGGAACCTTCAGGGAGGTGCAGGTCTTCAGTTCTGGGTTCAGGAGAGTGGGGAGCAGGCAGGAAAGGTGAGTCATTCGGAAGGAGGTGGTGTCGTGGTTATTAGAGAGTAACAGCCACCGTCCTGGCGCGTGTAGGGCGCTTTCCACTCTTGCGGCGTTTCAGGCATTTTTGTGTTGCGGTGTCATTTAATCCTCCTCCGCAAGGAGGCAGAAAGGGCGGAGATTACCACCCCCAACTCACAGGTGGGGAACACAAGCCCTTGAGAGGTTAAACGACTGCCCGAGGTTAGAGTCTCAGGTGGCCTGGGCCTGGGGTGGAATCTAGGCCTCTGACTCAGAGTCCGCTGCTGCTGTGCCTACACTTCACAACAAAGCGGGCTGTGGGGAGGAGGTCAGGTCTGAAGAGAAGACATGATTCCTCTTCGCTGTGCTGGGATTTCTTGGGTGACCCTGGATGTGCTCCAATCGGGCTGACAGACCAGTCTGGGTCTTCCTAAACCTCTCCTGGATCATGCCCAGGCCTGGACTGGGACAGCCACTTTCTCCAGGGCCTTCCTGACTTAGGGGACCCTGAGTGCCACCGTGTGGGGCTGAGAGGGGTATGGGCTGAGATGAGTCAACACTTTACAAGTCTTGGGTCCTGCAGAGACATCAGCAACCTTATGGGGAAGTGAGACTGGAGGGCCAGGGGGTGGCCAGGTGACTGGGGGAGGGCCCAGGGCCCTGTGGCTAGAGGTTTTACCCATGGAGGCCGAGAGCTTTCCTCGAAGCCCTCATCTGCTTGACCAATAAGAGTTGAGGTTCATGTGAGCTTGGCTCCTGTCTTTTCTCAGTTTCAGATGCCTCCTCAGAGTCTCTATCTTTCTAGTCCACTGACACTTCTCTTCCGCTGTGAAGCCTCCTCGATCGCCTTCCAGTGCTCCCCCTCACCCTCTGCGCTGGGCTCCATCGTGGCGCTGACCCCACTCAGCCTAGAACTGCAGCTGCTTGCTCTTCTGCCTCTCCTCGGACCGCCGGCTCCTCCAGAGGATCTCGTCCGCCTACGTCTCTGTCTCCGGCGTTGTGGCAGGGGGAGATGTGGTAAATGTCTGAGGCAGAAGGGGAGGGACTGAGCACGCCGAGCGCCTGCCTTGTCCACGCCTTCCCTGTTCATCGGTGCACTTGATCACCTCAAAGCCCGCAAGGCAGGGGACCGAGGCTGCGGGGAGGGCGGTGACTCGGCCACATCATTAGGTAGCACAACTGGAATTAAACCCAGCTATTGCTGATTTCAGACATGATGCTCTTTGCCCAACTCAATACTGCCTCTCAAATGTTCACTTAGAAGAATGTGGGAGAGTGACAAAATGGATTATGTGTCTATGGAGTTGAATCAAGGTGTTGTCCCTGGCTTGAAAAATGCACCCAACTTGTGGCAGGAGAAGCATTTTTATTTCATTGGATCCAGCTTCCTTCCTTCTTTTCTTCTTCTTTCCAAGAAACATTCTTGCCACGGTGAACTGTGAAAGAGCCTCATGGCTGTCCCCGTGCCATGTGCCCTTCCAGTGAATCCAGGTGCTCAGGGCTGGAGCCACGCTGGGGGCTGGAGAGTGCCCTGGGCACAAGGGCTGATCAATTTGGGGACAGGATGAGCTCTTTTTTCAGTCTGGAAAAGCACCAGTTGCCCCATCTGTGGCCCCTGGCTGTGGGATCTGTGATTCTGTCCTCGGACCCTTCTGGAGTAGTGTCAGTCCCATGGACTGCAGGAGGTGGTCACATCTCCACTGTGGGGAAAGCCAGAGGATTCCTCTTCCCATCCTTCCCCTTCTCTCTATCCCAGCGTCTTCCTCCTCTGCTGTCTCTCCTCTCTCTAGTCTCATCTTCCTCAGCCCTCCCTTCCACCCTCTTTTTCCCTCTCCCCTCCTCTCCCTTCTGTTCTCCTTCCTTCACGGGGAACCTTAGCCCCCTATCAGGAAACAGGTTTCTTCAGACCCTCCGATCCCCGAGTCTGCCTCCTCTGGATTGGCGCTGTCCATCCCATACAACACTGTGTGATGATGGGAATGTTCTGGCTCTGCGCTGTCCTGTATAGTAGCTGCCAGTCATATGTGGCTACTGAACACTGCAATCGTAGCTTGTGCTGCTGAGGAACTGAATTTTTACGTATTTTATTAGATTTTAATTAATTAATTAAAATAGGCACATATGGCTAGTGGCTACTGACTTGGACATCAGAGCTGTAAATGATACCAAGTGCTGGACTCCCAGGGGGTCCCTGCAGCTGTCCCCCATCCTTGTCCGGGCCCTGCCCTCCCTCAAGTGCTCTCCCATGCTCAGCTTCCTATTCTGCACCCTGTGAGAAGCCACGGAAGCCTGGGTTCGGGGCTTGGAGCTGGGTGACCTCGGGCACTGGATCTGTGAGCCTCAGTGGCCTCTTCTGTGAGATAATGAGGGTAATTTCTTAAGGAAGGTGCCCAAGCTTTAAGGATTCCTTTCAGCTCTAAGTTCTGTGTGTCTTTGGGCGGGAGCCTGCTGTGACCAGATCTGGGTGAGTCAGTGCGAGCAGCAGGGCGGTCAGTCTGTGTGTGTGTGCATGCATGTGTGTGCACATGCTGGGGGGGCGGGTGCTATGAAGGGCAGCAGTGAGACCCTAGAGGCTCCTGCTTATCAGTCTGACCCTGCCTGCCTGACAGCCTGAGACCGGGAAAAGGGTTAAAGGCTCCCTCGTTAGGGGAGGTTGCAGCCGGACTCCACTCCCGGCAGGCGTTTGCCCGCTCCCTGGCAATTCCAGCTACTGGCAACTCCTCGGCTATTCCAACACTGCCCCAGACTTCCTCTTTTGCCATAAAAGTCTCCCGGAAAGCCTTCCCACAGAGGCCCCGGGGCTTTCTCAGGGAATGTGTGAGTGTGTGTGAGCACAGGCACTGTAGAGCAGGAGCCCCGGGCCGTGTGCACGCTCTCCCACAGAGCCGCAGGCCCTGGTGCTGAAGGGGATGTCTGTCCCAGCTCCAGGGGGAGGGAGGAGGTGGGCCTTGGCCTAGACTGAGCCCTGGCTCCTGCGATGCTTAGACTTTAATCAGCTTGAACAACTGGGACACATGTGTGCACACACACCCGTGCACACACACTGCATGGGGAGGTGTGTGGAAGGAAGGAGAATTAGCCTTTGCTGCTTTGCTCTCCCTCCAAGCCTCAGTTGCAGCAGATCCCCCACATCTGGAGGGAAGAGGGAGATCCTTGGAGAAAGGCTGTTCTTAGGCTCACGGGTGTGATGGAGGCTCCAAGCCTATGGCTGAGGCGGAAGGGACCATTGAGAGGAGCCCTCTGGGGACAGGGGAGAGAAGCCCACCAACCAGGATGTGACGGGACACAGCCTCAGTGCGGAGAGAAGACAATGCCTTCTCTTCTGCTCCAGAAGCTGCCCAAGCCACGGGGGTCCTGGGTCACAGAACCCACCCGGTGGGGAGTTGCATCAGAGCAGAACTGCACGGTAGATGCCTTGGGGGAGAGGGCACTGAGGGCTTGTGATCCTAATTTTCCAACCTTCAGGTGCTTAGGGTTGAATCCTTGGCCTCCACTGGCTCTGCTCACCATCTCCAACACTCTTCTGCGCTAGTCTGCACCCAGATGGAGGTGGTTGCTGGGGGTGAGCGCAGAATGCAAGGTGTAAACCAGCGGTCACCAGGCTTTAATCAGCCCTGAGTCAGAGAGGTGGGTGGGAACACCTTCAGGTGGTCTTGGGGATCCCCCACAAGCACGGGCTTCCTGGGAAAAGACAGCCCTCCCTGACTGGGAACAGACGAGGCCTTTCTCTGCTGACACTATACACCCCAGGAGAACAGAGAGGCCACTCAAGTCTTGAATGATTGAGAAGCAGACCTGCCTGGAGGCAGGGAGTTTGACCAGAGGACTTGTTGGGTCCCTTCTGACTCTTGTCATTCCACACAGAGGACTCACCACATCAATGCCTCTTGGCTCCAAGGACCTACTGAGAGTTTGCGGGATCCCACTCTTGGGCCTGGGGAGACGACATTCTGGGGTCAGGGGATGGAGAAGGGTGTGGGGACAGAAAGGGGTATCCCACAGAGCTCTTTTGGAGTTTGTGAATTTGCTCCAGTGTTTTTGCTTCCCTAGAAATAGGAGAGAGAGTGGCAACAGTTGGTAAGGTCTGAAGATTGCTTTTTGCTTATGCGTGGTCTTGGTAAGAAAGTCATGGGGTGTGTTCCTCCTTTATCATAGCTGGCAGCCCGGATTTCCCACAATACAATGAATGGGAGCCTGAGGTCTGGCTGGTTGGCAGCTTCCCCACACGTCTCTGTGGGCCTCTGTGTAGCTCTTCCCGCTTTAGATCTGTGGGCAAGAGGTCCCCTCTGTGTAATGTCAGCCCTAGGAGCACAGCTGCCTTCCCAGGCTCAGGACCTCCCTCTAGCTTGCTAGAGCTCAAAGCCACGCCTGCCCCAGCCCCTGCCTCTACCCATCTCCTCCCTCCCTAGACAGGGCCATCACCACCCAGGGCACAGCGACCAAACACAGCAGATGGATCAACTCTCTGAGATGGTCCCTGTTTGCCTCTTTGTTCGAACATTGCCACCCCTTCCCTTCCTTTGAGCAGATTCCCCACATAGGTGGGTGGCTGCAGACAGTTGTGGAAGCACATATGAGCCATGGATGATGAGATCTGAAAGGGAGTTTGGAAATCCTTTAGTGGGGTCCACCCTCTGCATTTTACTGAGGAACTAATTCAGGTCCCCAGCATCCGTGGGACCACTTACAGCCCGCGTGAGTCTAGAACTCAGTTCTCCTGATTCCCAGTGTGAGATAATTTATAAGAAATTACCTTTTAATTTTCCCAGGGGCTTGGATGGGCATGGGGCTGAAATTTGGAAAAATTTGGGCAGAATTTTCTCTTTTTCCAAGATCCAGGTGGATGGTTCTGGGCAAATGGCTGGTGTTTAATAAATGCCTGTTGATTGGCCTGCATCTCTGGGTGACTCCTCTCTCACCTTTTGTAGGAAGGAGGGGCAGACCCTGCAGGGGCTTGGTTTATCCCTTCACTGCTCTCATCCTCTAGATTTCCACTCCTGCTGAGCGGTAGAAAGGATGATGCCAGACAACCCACTCCCTCATCCCTAGGGTCACACTGTGCGCTCTCTTGGCTTCCCTCAGTGCTAAGACCTGAGCAAAGGTGTCAGTCTATGCAACGCAGCCACCTTGACTAACTGTTAGAGAAATAAACAAGATGGTATTGTGCCGAGAGGAGAAGAGTTACATCAAAAGTATCTCAGAAAGGAAGAAAGCCAAATTTTTATGTGAGATGCATGGATAGGGGGAGAGAGAAAAAATATTGCCTGGGTAATTAAGCTAATAGGTTTCTTAAAGAATGCCCTTGTGAGTGATGTTCAACACATTCAAGTGTTGACAAGAAGGTATTGAACTTGACGCCCACGCAGCGGGCAGAAGCATGCTCTCGGTTCTGACACACCTTCTTTGTCTGAAACTTGTAGTAAAACTCCGCACTGGGTTGTGAAATCTGTCGCAGGGAATCCGGGCTGCAAAGGCTCCAAGGTCAAGCCTCCTGCTTCTGGATAGATTTGAAGTGGGCGAGGGCGGCCACCCTGAACTCAATTCCCAAATTAGAAGAGCAAAGGCTGGGGCTTCGACTCAGAAACCTAGAGATGCTGTTATGCCTGTGTGAGACGTGGGGGTCTCTGAGGGCCCACAAGACAATTTGCAGCTCTTTTGGGGTGGTCAGAATGAAGCTCTGTCCCTTCCCTCCAAGCCCCCATTGCCTTGGAGAACTTGAGTCTGATACCCAGGAACATCTGTGTGATCCTAGGGTTTCCCTCTCATGATGAACTGGTGGCATAACACAGGGGATATGTGAATACGGACTTTCCCTTTCTCTTAAATCTGTAGTAGGCAGAGAGGTCCCGAATCATTGGTGGGCTGGTGGAAAGGAGCCTTGCCTTGGAGGAGGAGGAGGGGAGTGTGTGTCTATATGTTTGTATTTAAAGAAAACTTTGCGTTGCTCTTGTCTGAAACCACAGGAACATAAATTACCACTCTTAAAACAAAGGGGAGCCCCCTTTTCCATCAGCCTGGCTCAAAGGCCCTGAATAAGGATGGGCTCTTTGCCTCTTTGCCTGCTGCTGGCTTATCAGCCTGCCTTCCTGCCTGGCTGTCATCCATTCCTCTCATCATCAGTCATCTACTCATCCGTCTTCTCTTTCTGTTACATTAGGCTCAGACTTATCAGGTGATCAGAGTTTTCAGGCTGGGACCTGAATCTCTGGGACTCTGTCGCAGTTATGGTGGCCAGATTTGTAAAGTGGAAAAATGGTGACGTGACTGTCTTTGTGGAAGAAATTTTCTTTCTTAGATACTTAGCAAAACTCTTTGACAATAAAGTAACCTAAGTCAACGGTTGTCTGGTGACCCTGAGGCAGCTAGCTCATCTTAAGGGGACAATTTAAAAAACCTGAATCAACACCCATGGTTAATGGGTTTCCAGCCTGGTGGAAAGACCAGCGCTGCCCCTCACCTGAAGTCATATGTAAAGGCGGTGTGTGTCTGTGCATGTGGTAGGAAGAGCGGGGTGAATTGGAATTTCCCCTCATTGAAAAATAGCAGTCAAGGAAGGCAATCCCCCAGTGCAGCTGGAAAGCCTGGGTTAGCTCTTGGCTCTGTCCTTCGTACCGGCCCTTGTTCTGGGGGCTCTTTTCCGCCTGGAGAAGTCAGTTCCCACCCAGGCAGTCCCACTGTTTCAGGAGATGTAGGATTCTGGGGTTTGTACATACTCCTAAGACATTTCTGTTTCTGGGAAAAGAGAACAATTTCTCATCTTTCTGCCTACCTCCCTATGCCTGAGGATGTAGCATTAGAGAAAAGGCTTTGCTTGAGTAGGGATACCTGATAATTTTACAATCAATTTCCCATTCCTCCAATACTCTCAGTCCTCATTCTCCATCACGGAGACAGATGGCTGCTATGTCTCTCTCTTTTCTGATTGTCCAGTTTGAGTTTTCTAAGAGCAAACTGAGAGGGCTAATCGGATTCCCCACTCGCCTGTTTGACACAGGCGTGTGGCCAGGGAGTAGCCTGGCAGCCTAGTTCAGCATACTCTTGTTGAGTGCCTACTATGTACAGAGCCAGGGCCAGGAGCTACAGGACCACAGCTCCTGCTCTGAAGAAGCGTTCCGCCCATAGGAGCCCCAGCGCTGCCCATACCATCCCTTTAGTCCCAGAGGTTGGGCATGGCCTGCTCAGGAGCTAGGAGGGAGCTGTGAACATCCCAGAAACATGCAGGTTTCCAGAGAAGTCACTTCCTTGGGTGATTTCCCATTTCCTCCTACCTCCCAGCATCAAAACTGGGGGTGCTACGTAAACTTTGACGAGGAGTCAATGATTCAAGTGCATCGGGATGGACTTCTAGCTGGGATATCTTTTCGTGTCAAACTCTTTTTGAAAATAATTTTTCCTCCCTTGGAGACACCTAGCCAGAGCGAAGCAGACTTCTTAGTCTTGACAAAGTAATGAAATCAGAGCGGCAATACTGTTTGTGTGTTTCGTGTGGACGCACAGTGCTTAAGTGCTTGAGAGCTAGGCAGCTTCTGCAGCTGCCAAGAGATTGAGGTTGAACTCCAGGGCGGAGCCCTCCAGAGTAGCTACCTTGCTGAAGCCCTTCCCAGGGCACCATTCCTTGTGGAGGAGGGCAGAGGGCTGCAGCCAGGGTCCTGGGCTCTGGGCTCTGCTGTGCTGGTGGGGAGCCTCAGCATTGGCTTTTGGACCAGACTTCCTCGCCGCCGCTGTGGGAGGTGTGAGGGCTGGAGCCGGAGGCAGGAAGTGAGTGCAGATGGGCTGCTGGGACAGCTGTGCGGGGAACAGCACATCTGTCAGGGCGAGTCTGCTGGGGCCCCTCCCCACAACTTCTGTGCTGAGTTTTCCCATTCAACAGGGTGTAGGCTGGGGTTGGGTTCCAAACAGGGAAAAGGATGTGAAAGGAAAGTCTGAAGACAGAGGCTGGAGCTAGGAGTTGCTGGGAGGGTACCTATGAAGAAAAGGATGTCTCTGTGCTCTGGGGGAGCGGAGGGACAAAGGGAAAAGCGAAAAATGAAAGCAAATGGATCAAACTGCGTCTGCTCAGGATGGGCTCTGGGCCTTGCGGTGGCTCCTGAGTGCCCAGGGTCTGGTGTCTCCTCCTCTGTGGGGCTGCCTGACCGCTCGCCCCCCCTCTCCAGATGGCCTCCTCTCCTGGGGCTCCTCGAATGTCTTCCATTGTAGGGTTAAAGGCCCTGAGGTAACTGCTCCTTTTCTGTCTTACCTACTAGACGGCAGGTGTCCTAAGATCAGAGACCCTATCTCCTTCATCACTGAATCCTCACACAGCAGACACTCTAGAAGTTTGTTGAGTAAATGATTTTGTGGTCTAAACCAACACAATGTTTCCTATTCAATCCCTCGATTTTCTCTAACTGACTTTAAATATTGCTGGGAAATATTGCTGGGAAAGCTGATCCCAAGCAGGCAACAGGAGAGATCTTTGGGCGATAGAAGTCAGATCAGACTGCTCATCGGGAGTTTGCCTGCGGGCCTGAGGTTGGCTCACCATTTTATCCTTTCTAGGGAGCTGAGCAGAGAGGGAAGGCTCATTGTTCTAGAAAATGTACACACTGATTTGGCTCCATGGCCATTTCCATGTCCTCCTCGGGCAGTTGCTCCTCCCTCTGTGCAGAGCTGTGAGCTGCCTGGTATCGAGCCAAAGCAGCAGGAATTATGGGTCACGTGGACTTCTGCAAGTAGGGAAGGCTGAGGGTTTCCCGACGTCAACCCCGCCATCTCCTCTCTCTGTCTGGTTTTCACAGTGAAATGAAAGGAGATGGGAGTTTGAATTCTAGCTCTGCTGTGCGGCCATGGGTGAGTCATTTCTCCTCTCTGGGCCTCAGTATTTTCATCTCTACAATGGGAAGGCTGGACCAGATGACCTCTGAGATCTCTTCCAGTTCTTAATTGTCACAAATCTGGTAGGATAATGAGTAGAGAAATGGCCTTGATGTTTTACACTGTCCCCTGAGAGCGTGGGCTGGGCCTTTCCCTTCCCTTAGGCTTGGGGAAGGGGGGAGGGCCCAAGAAGCCCCTGCCCCACTCACTGACCCCCGTGTTTGCCTCCTGCCGCTGCCGTGGCTCTTCCGGGATGAGTTAGTCGGATCCTGCTTGGAGTCAGAAGTTCTACGTGAACGATTTTTAAATGTTTCTCAAGCTTTTACTCCTGTTTTCTAGCTCTAGTGAGGGTAACAGTAGGGCCAATAGGGAGGAAGGAAGGATTGAAGTCCCAGGGGCTCGGGGCCCAAACGGGACACGTACACTCTTCTCTAACATTGTTTCCATCATTGTCATCATCATTATCATCATCACTGTCACCCATTATTAATATTGTTAAACATTTCTTGTTCATTCAGCCATGTGCAATGCAAGAGAAAGCACCAGAAGGTCTGGCCACAAGAAGCCTGCCCTGTCCTGGGCATGTCTCAGGGCATGGCTGGTTTCTCTGGTCCTTACACGGGAATTCAGTCAGACCCTCGGCAGGAAATGGGGCCAGTTACCCAGAGTGCCTCTACGTGAAAGTGCTCTCCTCTCTGGAGAAAAGACACTGTAATTCCAAGCTATTTCTGCTGCGGTCCATCTGTGTCTCGTTTATCTTTGTAGCCCCAACAGTGCCTTGAACAGGACCACAACAAAAGGTGCTCACTAAGTGCTCGTTGTTAAGAATTATCATAGCGATGTCTTACAATACATCCGGCAGGGCAAGTGTGCCTAGGCGTGCTCAGAGCACCCCTGAGCTGCCATGAGCTGAGAAACGTATGAACTCCTTGTCTGGGGTGTTTTCCCTACTCACCCACAAGTCCTCGGGCTGCAAGGCTGGTGTGGGACTGTTGAGGCAGGCGGCACAGACTCAGACAGGAGGTGAACAGCTGGCGCCTCCT